TGGCAATTTAAGGGGAGTCATTGTTTTGAGTCTCTCTTGTGGATGGGGATTTTTCAAAGACCCTCATTATATTTCTGAGGTGGCCTTTGCTTTTTCTGGGCCATCAGTAAAAGCTAGAGGATGGAGAACCGAAACAGGCTGAAATTCAGCCTGCCCTTGCAAGCCTCAGCAAGGCTCCAGGACCTTCCCTTGAACTCAGAGTGGTTCATGCTCCTCTCCTCCAATATCAGATCACTACCTGCATTATACTCTAGTCCGCTCATGTTTTCATGATCCTAAGCAATGGCTCTTGTTTCCCCTTCTCCGAGACTGTTCCTTGGACACTCTTCTCAGAAAGCTTAGCCTTTTATATAGATGCCTTATTTCCCATTGCTTTCTGATTTCACCATTTACTGTTGCTTAGTCTCCATGCCACGTGTGTTTACCACCGAGGACTGTTCATTAGGTTCCCCTGAGAAAGGCAGAATTACTAAGGCAAGAAGTCAGCATCAAAGAAGTTCAAGATGATTGGTGACTTCAGCACCAGATTCAGACACCAAAACAAAGGTGTCTTCGATGGAGGTATCTCCACACGATGGGGGTGTCCAAGCTTCCCATCCGTTCAGTGGAGATATAGACAATACAGCCACAGGGTCTAAGCAATGACCTTCATACAGCTCTGGCTCCACCAGCTTTAATGACTCAGGAAACAATTTGGTTGACTTCTGCATAGCATCATTTGAGATGCCCTGAGTACCCTGCATCACTCCACCTCCCAGCTCAAAAATGTTCTTGTATTCTGTATGCAAGTTTGTCACATCTGCCAGCTCCACATGGAGGTCTGAGCTATCCTAGAGCATTTCAAATGCTGCTGGATTCCCATCTGTGATGGTTGCACTAAGCCTTAATTCTCCATTGAGTAAAGAGACATCACTCACCTGTGGACACCCCAAGGTGAGTCTCTGCAGTGGGAGCTGAATCCTGTCTGCAATGCAAGGTGCACAGTGATGTGAAAGAGATCTACTCCCTGATTTAGCATGGGTTTTGTAAGACACCTTGGATAAATCTTTCCAGTCTTAGTGCTGCTTCTGTCAAATGGGGACATTATAAAGCTCTACCTCACTGTACTGAATGTAGGTTAGGAGATGTCTCACCGTGAGGACTTCGGGGTACATCACTAAAGGGATCTGGGGGACTAATTCTTGTGATGTGTTGATCAAGACACGTGGGCTTGACTCCTAAATGGCGCTGACTACGGCCTGTGAGTTACTCATTGCTTCTAGCAGGTGATAGGGGGAGTTCAAGGGCTGTTGTACAGCCTGGTGCAGAGAGTTTGAAGGCTATGCCAGTCTGATTTGTTATGGACAGGTGGGATACAGATTCCACAGATGCAGCCACAGGGCTTCCAGCCCCATGGTAGCTAATGCCCTCCTGGCTTGAGAATGCCCACAGAGATGTGGCAGTGCAGGCCGGGTATTTTCCACTCCCAAGACTAAACACAGAGTGGGAGGAGTGGGAGTGGGTTTTTTGAAGTGACTTCAGTTTTAAACCAACCCCAACCCTTTGATAAACAAACCTTGGAAGGGAGTTGAAACCCACTCATGCTAGATGAAGGTGCGTCAGTCACCATGTGTAATAGTCAAAATCAAAATAAAAAAAATACTTCCCATGTGATCCAACTTGCCCAGACTTTTTGTTCTAGTTATAGCTGGAGAGAGGTCTCTGGCTGCTTAGAAATAAGCCCTGGAGAAGTGGAAAAGAAAGGAACAGTTTATCCCACAGCCTGTGAGAATTGTACATTGTCTGAAGATGTCACAGGCTAGAAGTAACAGGGAAAGATGGGAATAAGAAACTCATGGTCAAGATGACAAAAGCCAAGGTGTGCTTTGTCATTTAAGTCTGTATGAAATAGCCAGGGAATAATTTCTGTGGCAAGGAAGTAAGAAGTAATGGAGAAGTCTTTATATCACTCCATGGCTCCTGTTGACGTCCACCTGATGATTGCAGCCCCCTTACACCCAGATCCAGATCTTGCTCATCACTAGGATGCCAAAATTTGCATTTGGCACAGAGTCATGAATTTTTGAACGATGGTAGTAATATGTCAAAATGTTGAGAGATACTTCATCCCCCCTCTCAGATCTTAGTCCAAATGAGGAGGCAACGAACTGTTTTGTAGAGTAGGACTCATCCCACCTGACTGCTGCTGTTTGCAAGTCCTCGCACTCCCCTGTCAAGGGATGGAGACAGACACTTTGGGAGCATGAGTCAACCCCCCTTGTCCCACACATGGATCTTAGGACAGGGTGAATCACTTTCTGGGGGTGTCTGCCTCTCTCCATTGACTCGAGGAGACGTTCAGATGACTATCACCAGGCACGGTCATGGTACCATGCAATACGAGTGACTCAACACACCTTCCCTCAGGCAGCTCTGTGCGATTTACAGCAAAGACTGTGATTAGTGTAGGTTTCTACGCTGAAAACATTACAGTGGGAAAAGCCTTTATGTGTATACTGGGGTTTTGTTTCTGGTGTATTTTCTTCCTCTCTCTATTCTAGAATAAACGAACCCAAGAGAAACATTTTTAAGCCAGCGTGACACATCTGTCTCTGGTGGGTTGGCGCTGCTTGAGTTTCAGTATCCAGGTACATTTAATGCTGTGCGAGCTTCTAGTATAACAGCACTAAAATAAGACAATCCATGACCTTTTTTTTTTTCCTACTAATCATGGAAAGTTTTTAAACTGAATGGCTAGAAGTTATTGCAATGAGCAGTACTTACACACATAGCAGCACTTACCTTAAGGATCGTGTGGCATTGCTTAGCCTTCCAAAACCATCTACTAGGTTAAAAATAAACCTAATCTACATCTGTTTGGGGCTGAGGCTATTCGCTCTCAGACCTTTCCATCCATTAGAGTCCCCAAGTCCTACATGCAAGTGTTTCTTATTGAGGACATAGAACTTGAGGGAAACTGTGTTTTTCTTAAAGACGGTGGCCTAAAGCTTCCCTCTTTGATAAGGCCACTGATCTTACTGGTTTGTGGTTTGTTATTTTTTAGAATTCAGTCTGAAATGCTAATCCACATGTGAGCCCAAAGGCAAGGTATTCAAAGAGAGCTGGTGGAAAGGTGTAGTTTTGGTGGACCTGCAGGCTGGGAGAATTTCAACGTGGGGCAGAGATGAAGGTCTGCTGTCCTTCCTGGCCACCTTCTCCAGCACCTCTCCTCCAGGGGTAGTTAGGCTGGAGAGAGGAAATCTAACCCTACCACACTGTGGGGTGGGATCCCCAAAAAGAAGACAATAAAGTCTCTGGAGTGAGGTCTGAAGAGCCAGTCAATCTTCCTACCATCCCCATGGGACCCAGGTCCTCGTGGGCAGAGGGAAAAGTGAGAAAAAAACAGGAGAAGAAGAAATGTTTTCAGACATTTTGGCTTTTTATCCCTGAGCAGCTGCAGCAAGCTGCTGCTTGGGTTTTCTTAAAGTAGGAAAAGCAAAATAGAGCTAGGCCTATTTTCCAGCATGTTACACATCAGAGAGAGAGGAGCGTTTGTTATTGTTTGTTTTGCTTGAATCTATTAGCATTTTTCCTTTTGATTTTATAGGTGGTGCTCCCAGAGAAAAATCTTTGGCCACGGCCTAATGCAAGTATAGCTACCAAATTATTTAGCTTCCCAAACATGGATCTTGGTTCGTCATCTGTTCCCTCACCTGCGGAACAGTTGTCCAGTGAGCAGCAGTGGGAGCAAAGGAATGAGATGCCAGTGGCCTTCTCTTTTGCCAGGAATCTGCCAATTAATTTTTAATTAATTAATTTTAATTAATTAATTTTTATTATGATGCTTTGCTCAATGAGTTGTTCAATTTACCCTTGCAATAATCAATGGTATTGCATTTTTAAAAGTTCCCAAAGCATGACGGGGCGCTATTTTATCCATTGGAGCAAATAGATAATTTAAGTGTCACTTGTGATGGGGAATAAGATCAGGCCCCTTTGGAATATCATGGGGTGCCTGCCCCATGCCAGGGCACAGGGGGATGAGCTGGGAACCAAGGGTGATGCCAGTGCAGGCAATGCCCTCACTGATCGGGGTGGTGCCGCAGGGTCTGAGTGCACTGGGCAGAGCTGCGTGCTGCTAACAGCTCCCTCAGCAGTCCCAGGCAGGGCAAGGGGATGGACCAGATCCAAGGTCTCTTCAGGGGTCCCACCAGGAGCAGAATGAAACAGGGCTGGAGACATGACTGAACCTTGGATCTGTGGTCCATCCAGGAGACAGAGCTGGAGATAAGCTACCTCCAATATAGGTCTTCAGTCCATCCTGGAAACGGGGAAGGGGAGCTGCTGGAGGGATCAGATTCTTTGGTTTGGGACCATTTGGAGAGTACTGATGAGTCTTGATGTTCCCTGTATTTATACACTCATCTCCATGGGACCACAGGGTGACAAAAAAACCTGACCATCTGCCTATTTTTCCCAAAGGCAAATGCAGATGGGGATTCCTGATTAAGGCAGAATCAAGTAGAAGTCAATGTGAATGATGCTTGTATGAAAGTATTTTAGAATAAAAAAGATCCTATATACCATTACAAGGACCTTGGGTGTCCTGCTCTTGCAGTGGTGCACTGCAAGATGGACCCCTTTCTGCAAAAAGTAACCTTCATACTTGGGCTGCAGCGTTTAGATGGGATCCGGATTTCAAATTCTCAAATGTCGGTCTAATCGGGATGAGGACAGAGGCTGTTCCCTGTAAGAAGAGCAGAGCTGGGGTGGGGTGGCAGAGCCGACAGCTCAGGAATACAAGCATAATGTGCTGTATCAGAGAACTCCTGAACAGAGCATAATTTCCAATTCCCATACTGATATTTCTGTATTTCTCTCCTCTAGACTGTAAGGACAACCTGACGTGAGTTGAACCTTTGGGCTACTGAGCCTGCCCCAGATGCAGTAATTTAGTGAGCAGATGATGTTTTCAACCAAACCTCCTATCTAACTCAGTGGATCTGTGTGTCTTCCGGCAGGTGTGTCCTCTGTGGCCTCCCTGATGTCCCTGGCTTGGGTGCTAGCCTCCTATCACAAGCTTCTTCGGGACTCTAGGGACGACAAGAAGAGTATGAGCTACAGAGGGGCCCTCATCCATGTCTTCTGGCGCATCTTCACCATCTCATCCCGAGTTATTTCTTTTGCTCTCTTTGCTTCCATCTTCCAGCTCTACTTTGGGATCTTTGTAGTGGTCCATTGGTGTGCCATGGCTTTCTGGATCATCCATGGTGGGACAGATTTCTGCATGTCTAAGTGGGAGGAGATCCTCTTCAACATGGTGGTAGGGATTGTGTACATTTTCTGCTGGTTTAATGTCAAGGAAGGGCGGACTCGATACAGAATGTTTGCGTATTACACGGTAGTCCTGACGGAGAACGCTGCCTTGACGCTCCTTTGGTATTTTTACAGAGATCCTGACACTACTGACTCATATGCCGTGCCAGCACTGTGTTGTGTCTTTCTTAGCTTTGCTGCTGGGATAGCTTTGATGCTGTTATATTATGGTGTGCTGCATCCCATGGGGCCAAGAGCTAAGATCTTTGCCAGCTCCTGTTGCGCCGAGCTGCTCTGGGGCATTCCTTTGCCCCCTGATGTTGAGCCCATGGCACCCCAAACCCCTGGGTACCGGGGGGCCCAGGCTACGCCTACCAGAGCGGTCACGGAGCAACAGGAGGAACTCACAGCTGACACTTGCTTGCCCGTTTTCCAGGTGAGAGCAATGGTACCATCTACTCCATCTGGGCGACCCTACCCCCCCGAGGGGCCTCTCATTAAGATTGACATCCCAAGAAAAAGATATCCTGCATGGGATGCTCATTTTGTAGACAGGAGGTTAAGAAGAACTATCAACATCCTCCAGTATGTCACCCCCACAGCTGTAGGTATTAGGTATAGAGATGGACCTCTCTTATATGAGTTGCTACAATATGAATCTTCACTTTAAAAGCTCCTTAAAGCAAAAGTAAAAGAGGGGACCTTATTTTTGTTTACGGTAAACACAGATCATGAAACAAACACAAACCTTCAGATAAGCTTTCTTTCTGGTTGCTGTATGTATAAAAAAAAAAAAAAAAGATATTCTCTATGTTTTGTAAGTAAAAACAAAAAGAAAAACTTTTCTTTTGTTTTTTACACACAAGAAACAGTATTTCAACTTCCACACCTAGGATTCACAGGTGGAGAAGGAGGCATCTCCACATCAGTTTTATACCGTACACCAAGTGTAGAACATTATTTATGGGATTGGTGCTGATTGAAAAATAAAAAAACAAACAAACAAACCTACAACTGCCTTATGCCCTTAGGTGCTGAGTTTCATTAAGTACTGTCACCTTTCTCATGCAAAACTCTTTGATGATTATATGCCAGGAAAAAAAAAAAAAACAACCAACTGAAAAACAAACCTTAAAATTAAAAAAAAAAAAAAAAAAAAGGAAAAAAATGAACAACAACAACAAAAAGAGAGAAATGTATGAAAAAAAAAATCTTGTTGCTCTTATTGGATTTAGCAGAAAAAAACCAAATGTCTAAAGATAAGAAAGCAAAGCCAAGACAACCCCAATGGAGTTTGATTTTTTCCAACCGTTGAAAGACAAAATCAGGTCTGTAACTCAATTTGGCAATGCATTTATAACACCATTTGGCCAAGCCTGTGAGCCTCGACCGAGTCGTGTTATAAACGCGATCCCACCGTGTAACCGTTTTCCTCGTGTAAACGGGCCAGGCGCAATGGCCGGTTTGCACCAGATTAATGTGGTAATACAGTATCTGATCTTGTTTCGAACAATTGCACACGCTAAAGCACCACTGCCTTCAGTGGAGTGAATAAGAACCGTCTGAGCCCAGAATAAGGCCTGCCACCTTGATTTCTGGAAAACAAGGAATCTGCAAACATTGAAATTGCATACCAAAACCATACGAAAGTCCATTTACACATATCTAATAACTATTTCAGTAATAATAAAACTCAGCATAGTAGCAAAAAGCGAGTCAATTTAAAGGCACAATACTTGATCAGTGACTGGCAAAATAATTTGACCTACTGTATCATTTTAAGGCTGTGAAAGGCATACATGTATTATTTGTAATCTCGTGTAAGACCTGTCATGTCTCATTCAGTGCGAGCCTTAAAGTGATTGTAAAGCATCCTTCGTTCCATTCTGGGGTTTTGGGGGTTTTGATTTTTGTTTTTGTTTTGTTTTGTTTTTAAGGAAAACAAAACATGAAAATCGGGATTTAAAACAAACAAACAAACAACAACAAAACAACCAACAAACTTCTTCAAACGGTAATAACCTGTAAACTGACTCACGTCTTGAGATGATTTGGTGCTTTGTATTTTTGTTGATGTTGTTGTTGTGATTTAGCTGAGAATTCTTCAACTCGGTACATGTGGGGAACTGCTGATAAAAACTGTCTCGTGTCACCCTCTACTGTAAGTACATGGCGAGAAACAACACCAGAGGAAATTCAAGAGCGTAGCGAGAGCATCGTGGTTTAGCTTAGCCTTCTCACCGCAAGGAGATGCTGCCACCTCCGATGATGGCAAAGCCTAGACGGTCACCTGCCAAGGGTTGTGTGGTTGTCTTGACATTTCCAAATAACCCGCTCGGTGTCCGAACATTCACATCTCTCGAATTCTGTTTCTGTGCTGGAATCTCTTGTTTCGAGTTAAATCACGGGTTTGTGTCTATCCAACACCCTTTTCCATTTCGAGAGTATTGCTCCTTTAAAGGAATATTCCCATTTCAGGGCATCTTTTCAATCCCACCATCCCTCGACTTGGGAGGGGAAAACCAACAACAACAAAACAAGATACTTTTAAGTGAATGCTGTAGTATTTTCTGTCTGTACTTGCAATTTTTTATTCCAGAAATACTGTAACTGTCTAGGGTGCAAAACTCCCATGTTGACCTGTTCTGAAGAGAAGATCGGCATGGGGGGGATATTTTTTAATTATGATTATGCTTTTTTTTTTAATTTGAGGAATCAGTTGGGTTTTTTTAATTATAATAGTATTTAAAGAAACTAGTACCAATTTTATATAACAGTTTAAAGAAGCTGAATGCTTTCTTCGCCTGAATATACCTGAAGAGAAACATTTTTTTCAATCAGTGATCCTTTGCGGTGTTCTGAGAAAATGTTGGGGTTTCTTCAGTTGTTTCATTTTGTTTTGTAAAGAAAACTTTTAACTGGTGTCTGTCCCTTTCACGGAGGGCAGGACTCATTCACGCCAAACTATAGACACATGGCAAAGTTTCTAAGAAGCCAAATTGTCACTGGTACTGTAATTCCCAGTCAAACTCCATTTCAGGCAAATGTTTCTGGGCTCTGATTACAACCAATATGATGGTCACATTTTCACGCAAAAGGAGGGATTTTGCCTTGTCATCCCCTATCTAATTTCCCAGCCCCTTCTTTACTGTGCACGTAAATACATATATATATATGTACACACACATATATATTTGTGAAAAGCTTTCATTTCCCTTCTCCATTGTCTGTGTCCCATAACCAGTCCCTTCTCAAGTGTCCTACTAACATTTCACCCTGTTTCTTCCCTAATCAGTATGGTGTCTCGTAAAAAGAGGTAATTTGTGAAGTGAATTTGCTGTCCCCAGCTACTGAGTCATAAAAACACAGAGGTGCCCATCCTCCAGCAACAGGCCTGCATTTCTCCCGGGACTTTCTTTTGAGTTACTTTTAATACTAGTGTAGACTTACTCTGATCCAGTTCCCCGAGACTCACGCCCTGTGTAAAGACTCTCCTTGGTCCATCCATGAAGAGCTCTTCTCTACACATCTGCATTTCATTGGCATAAGCATGAGAAAGGAATGGATGACAAACAACCTTGCTGTTCCTCGGGGACCTTTCGTCCAGGAGATAGTATCCTCATTTTCAAAAGCACCATGAGAAGGTCCCCGTCCCCGAATTTGTCAACCCTGGAGGTCTTGTTTGGAGATGTGACCCCACTCCTTGCCCCCACTGAACAGCCGGACCCTGCCGCTTCGCACCAGGACAGTGAAATAAGTCAAAGAGCCGAGGCACGCTCATCAGGAGCCGAGGAGGAGACCCTTCAGTGTTGCCTCTCATGAGCACCTGCAGCCTGCCTTCCCTCAGGAACAGGACACTTGCTCCAGACCACCACACCAACAGCCGTCCTCTCCATCCTGTTATGGGAGCGGAGGGGCAAAACACTCTAGAAGTGACCTTACCTCTCAACACAGTGCTAATTTCTCACAGCCAAACCAGCTTGACTAAGGGCTTGACACACTCCTGTTCCAAAGTCCTCCTGCGTGGCTCATAGTATGGATACCAACGAAGGCAGGTGCATCCACTGCATATGAAGACTGTTTCGTTACGCTTAGTTGCATAAACTTTCTGCCTCCACTATTAGTCCTTTCTCTGAATGATATCCACTGGCATCTTGATTTAGCAAGAGATGTCCAGTGAGAGCCTGTGTCAACCCTGAGGAACTACTTCTCTTTGAAGGACTTCATTACAGCCTTAACATAAAGCATGTACTCTACCACTACACCCAACGAGTTCATGGTGGACAGTTTGGTGTGGTGACCACTTCCTCTTGGGATTATCCGTGATCTTGTTGCCAAACAGCACCTTTTGCCAAGCCAATAGTTTGGGAGGAAAATTACCCCCAGCTCTTTATTGGTACTAAACCCAACGCTAAGAGTCTAGTCCTCGCCTCCTGTTGTTTTTTTCCCCAGGGTTTCTTTGATTTTTGGTGTGCGCCTTAGCAGGATGGTCAGTGACTTGTTTTGGTTTCTCTTGGTTTTTAACGCCTCAGCTTCTCCCTGGTAGCTTAGTTATAACATGTCCCGCCTTCTTGCCAGAAGATACTGCATGAGGGGTTTTTCAAACTGTCATGGAGGAGGTTGAGTCCATATTTATTCACATCACAAGATCAATGGGCAACCTCTCTGGCACATTTGTGCTGCTGGATTCACCCTGGGATCATCTAAACCAGCCAACTATGCCATGCCAGGGCAAAGCCAGAGCACAAGAGCTCCACCATCCCCACTGTTATATTGTTCAGACCTTCCTTGGCATGGTTTTGACCCACTCCAACGAGCCCTGGGCTCAGGCACAGCTTGCACAAGCATTGACGCTGGCCAGAGACCATCCCCAGTTGGCAGTTTGGATGCAGCCGCTCTGCACTGGGGCTGAAAGAGTTTAGTAGTGTGGATGTGGCCAGAATTTGTCATTTGGCTTCATGGCCTGAATGGATCCTGGCAGTGCTTAATTTGCTAATAAAGATGTAATTATATGACATAGACCAGGATTCAGGACGTGGTGGAGCACATCAGCTCCGATCTGGCATTTTTCTATTTTCTGCCCGATTCAATGGACCAGGTATTTTTCAGTTCACTTTATTCTTTTTGCTGAGGTTATTTTGCAAACAGCGTCACTTTTATCGTGCTGATGTCAACCCATCCATCCCTTCCTCCATCCATGTCAGAGAGCTGGCATGCTTAGTGTGATAACGTTATACATCTGTAGGCAGCTAATCTGGAGACAGGAATGATTCAGACCAGACCAAATCAACAATGGAAATACAGGAATTACAAGGTCCCTGCCCATGTCCTTGTCATGCTTTGCCACCCACACAAGGCATTTTTCATCCACAGCATATCCAACCCAAACTGCAGAAGAGGAGCCAATGTTGTATAATTACCAGTGGAAAGGGCAAGCGAGCCACCAATTTCAAGTGTAAATCTATATATTTTCAGTGCTTTGGATTGGAGCTGATTGTCTGCTTCATCCTGTCCTTCTCTGCACCTGCCAAAAGTCCATAGTCATTTGCATGTATTTTTATTTAAAGCTGACTAGATGAAACAGGACAAAATTAATTTCAAGCTTTAGTCAGTGGTCTGCTGAAACCTGGCTGATGCTGCCCACGAGGGGAGCATTGCTATTGACTTTTA